ACGCTTGTCCGCGATGAGTTCTTGCTCGGTGGAGGACATGCATGCTTGGGCCCACTGGTAAACTTCATCTCCGGGGGTCTTCTGGAGTCGACCGATGGCCATCAAAACTTGGTTGACGAAACCTCTAGCCTGTCCAGCGTTCTCCGGAGGGGATGGTAACACGAGATCCTTGAGGTCCTTGACGCGAACAACGGACTCCTCATGTGCGGCGTGATCTACGGCGGTCATGCCCACACTGGGATCGGCAGCTTGAGACGGGTCTGCATTGGGGAACTGGCCAGGGCCTCCCCCACCTCCCCCACCACCATTCATGGTGAGGTATGGACAATCCGTGTCTTCATGGCTGCCGCCGCAAACTCGACATTGTGGGGTATCATCATCTCCATCAGAGTCTGATGATGTCCTCCCAACATTGTGATTGGTACTGGCGGAACATGAGTGCCGTTGCCAGCTTTTGGCGGAGGCGGCGCCCCAGCAAGGGGCATGGGAGGCGCTGGAGGTGGTGCGGCCGGAGGCGGAGGTGGCGGAGCCACTTGATTAGCAACCAATTGGGAAAGCTGCTGAACCATTTCCGCTAAAGCCGTCACTTGCACTCTCACATCGGCTTGATCCCTTGGACCGTCTCTACCCAACCCGCTAGTCCTTGACGCGCCGGGGGCTGCGTCTCCAACGGAGGCTCCTAGCACTGCGGAATGACCTGCGAGATGTTGACTTGTTGCACCCCCACCAGGGTCCCTTGAATCAGCTGGGGCATCGTGACCAAGTCCTGTACTTTGAACAGAACCACACGGAGGGTCGGGGATAGTACTTGTAAAAGCATTCCCTTGCGACGATGCGGCAACACCGGAGGCATCTTGTGAATCTGAAACCTGAGGTGCTCCAACCGGCTGATGGGTTCCTGGGGGAACTGTGCCTTGACTTGAGGCTTTAGCCGCGCTTGCTTCCGTAGCTGTTTCGGCTATTGATGCGGCTTTTGGCGGGGACTCTTGCATCGGAACAGGGGTCGCACGAGCTTGTTGGGTGAGTTGTGCAACAACACGTTCGAGATCACCAAGTCGTTGATGCATCACAGAATTTTCCTGGGACAATCCACGAATGGTACGCTCTTGACTGGCAATGGTTTGTTCTCTTTGCAAGATTGCCTGTTGAGCCTCTTGAACAATGCGTTGAACCTCTTGCTGAGCGTCCTGTTGAGTGGCATTAACAACCTGTCGTGCGTTCTCGACATGGCCAAGGGCTTCCTGTCGTGTCTGCTCGATGAGTTGCCTAGCCTGAGCCTCACTTTGTTGTGCTGTTTGTACAGCCTGCTGCGCTTGCGAAGCTAGCTGAGCGGCCTGAACCCTAACGTCTGAAACTTCTCTTACAGCCCTTTCCCTGATCCATCCGGCCTCTTGTCTCGCCTGATCGGCGGCCTGCTGTTGGTGCAAGGCGTGATTGGCTGCCTGAGCAGCGAGGTCGGATGCTCGATGAGCTTGCTGCACCGCAGCTCCAGCTATAAATGCCGCAGCGGGTACGTTAGTCATCGGGTCAGGTAATTGCGATCCCTGTGAAGGAAACTGAATGACTGGGGAAGCTTCGGATGATGTAGGTTCTGACACGATCGGACCACTCGGGGGTGATGATGGTCGTGTTTGGGCTGCTCGTTGAGGTGTGGATGTGCGAATCGTGGACATAGCTGCAGGAACCATGGCTAGGTCAGGGTCATCCGGTTCAGAATCCCTATTTGGGGTTGACGTTGAACGGGGTTCTGATGGCGGTGATAAGCCCGTTGAAGCCATGACACAGCAATGCAACTTTTGCACTCACACGAAGCTAGCTCCACGCGCTTTGAGCAGCGTGTCAAAAGGTGCTACGAGGAGATATCCCTGGATTGGCAGCTGGTTGCGAAACGCTCAAGTGAGCCACTCAAGAAAATACGCCCTGCTGCTTTGCACCTGATGAATTCTGCATTTGTAATTGTACTTGTAGATTGATTGATCCGCACTGCCGCACTATGGTGCGTTATCGAGGGATGTTGCCAAGCTGTATTGAGAATTTGTCTGCAAATCGAATGCCTGTAGTTGCAAAGATGCTGTACCGCGCAAAGCGACGGTTTTAACGGCTTGCAAGAAAGGCTATCGAAGTACCCGGCTGGCGGGCAACTGGGATGCAGATCGGTGGAGCTCCTCGAGGTACTGCGATGGATGCAGGCCCCTTGCCGCCGGAATGAATTGTCTGTTCCGGGACTCGATGAACTCCCCAAGGTTCTCAAGCGCGTTGGCAAATCCGCCCGGCCCGAAATGCGAGAAGTTGCGGAACGCCGCGATGCCTGTCTTTTGAGCTTCACGGACAATCGATGCTGTATCGTCAATACGGGCGTGAACGCCCAGCCCCTGAAGGGCGTCTGCTTTGCCTCCCCTACCCAACCTTTCGTGTACGATTTTTATCGCAGAGAAAGTGAGTCCAGATGTCGCCCGCGCGTGCTCCAGGGCGACCTGGAACTCGCGGCGGCGATATTTGCTTGCAGCCCTGCCCACGAAGGATAGCACCATAAAATTTATAGGTGCGTAGTCCGCTGCGAACTGAACGAGATGTCGGATCACCTCCGGGTTGAGGTGGGGTCCCTGCTGCCCAACGTCAAGAACTCCGTGCCAGTCAAGAGCGATGACAAGCTCCTTGGGCGGCACAGGTCTTCCAGGCGGCGGGGGTGGTGCAGGCGGCGGCCTTCTTGGTGGCGATCGAAAGCGTGTGCCAGCCTCGGAAGTTGCAGCGCTAGCAGCAGCTGCTTTAACGACCTGCGGCGGTGGCGGCTTGACGATATACCCAAATTGTGGTGGGTTTGAGCTCGATTTGCTTCTGGGTTCGGCCTTGTTCAAACCCCGCGGAGGCGCCTTGTACCCGAATGCACTCTGAGTCCGAATAGGAGACCTTGCTCGTGGCGGTGATTTCCTCGGAATATCTGCTTTTGCCGGTACCGAAGATGCTGCCCTGGGGATTTCCTTGGGCAATGGAGGCTTGCTGCCAAAAATGACCTTTGGTACGGCCTTTGGTGGCGGCGGTTGAACTGCTCCAATTCTCCGGCTATGCAAAGCGATGGGCTCAGTGTGAGTCGGCGCCTCGTATACGCGCCGAGGCACGTAGGCTGCCCTGCCCGTTCTGATGGATTCCGCGTCTTGCGGTGGTTCCTCTTCCGAGCTGTAGGCGTCGAGGCGGAAGTGCTCCGCTGGCGCTGGTCGTCGATCAGGAGATCGTGATCGCGAGCTCGTGGATGATCTTCTTGGGGGATCTCTCCACGTCTCGTCCGCGAGCAAGTACGGGTCAGCCTGACGGAGTTGTCCAGATGTCCGCTGTGCTCGGCGTTGAGATGTCGCCTCACGTGGCTGTGAAGCCTCCCGAACGAGTACCCAGGTGCCGTGCTCGTCAAATCGTGTCACAGGGTATATGCTATTCTGTGGAGCCAAAACGATGGGCCGTGTGGCAAGGGAAGTCCTGGATGGCCTGCCCTCCCGCGCAAGCGCGGGTTCAACACTGTGTGCCCGTTGTTCCACAGGGGTAGCAGCAGTTGGTCCTCGTCTCGGAGGTGATGATGGAGACCTCGACCTTCGGGGCGATGGGGACCTCGATCTTTGTGTTGACCGTTCCCTGCTGCTCTCCCGCCGCGTTTCCGCAGCTTTAGCGTACACCCCGCGAAGCGCTGTCTTGGCGGCGCCCCGCAACACTTGTCGTTCCTCTGCTGATGGCCGAATGCGAGGCAAAGGAGTGCGCGACTCTTGCAACCAGGAGGAAGCTGAAGGAGGCGTCGGAGGTCGTAGCCAGTCCGCTGCACTGCTCGCTGCTTCCGCCGCGCCTGAGGCTGCGGCTTGATCCTGAGATGGCACACCTTGCGGCAAGACCACACCTGTGGTTTCAACCAATGCGAGACGCTGCTGATAAGCGTTGTCCGCGGCCTGGATCACTTCGAAAGCCTCTTGGTCAAAATCCCACAGGTGCCAACTATCCAATGACTCACGCCAGGAAAAGAGCGCCTCGACCTGTTGCTTCGAGGCGTCCGCAAACCTGATCCACCGGAATCGTCTGTTCTGCCGTTTGTACTCGTCGACGACGATCTGCTGCAGAGTATTGAATAAACGGGCACGCGGCCCTTTCCCACCGCGAGTGCCGCGGTGAGGGCCGACTTCCATGTGCGACCAGTCGGTCGCAGTCACGGAGGGGTTTGTTTACCCGAAAAGCGTTACGGCTGATAACCACTCAAAGGAGAGGGAAACACAGTTTTGTCAACAACGGGGAAACCCGGGACCTTAAAAGGAACGAACCCCTCCGTGACTGCGACCTCTCCCTTAACCTTGGGGTTAGCGCGAGCAACGCGCTGTTTTCAGCACTTGAGCCAAAGCAGTGATTGGATCATGCTCAGGCATTGACTTGAATGTACAACATGCAACTGACTACATGAGAACCTACCTCATGTACCTCTGGGCCATAAATGTCATCGTGATAATTGACTGGGTTACCTGCTAAAATTCCTACCCACAAACCTAGGGAGCCCAGGCGGTTGGTTTCCTTTCGCCTTGCCTCCAAAACCATACCAAAAGAGGCGTTTACCATGTGGGTGTCTTCGTTGCGGGTACCCCTTCTTTGGTGGTAGCCAAAAGAAACCAACACCATTCGGGGTGGTCCAACCAAAAATGCCTAAACGACGAGCCGCCCATTCTGCCAAACGACGCCATTTGACAATTAGAGTGCCCCTGGCTTGCCCCCGCATCAAAAGGTTCCCCTCAAAAGAAATCCCACAAAAAGAAGTGGTTTTCTGCTTGGAGTACGTAGCAGAAGAAGCCAAATCCAATTTGTGGAAACTCAGGTTGCACAAGTTGCTGTCGCCCAAGTTGCGCCCAGCCATTGAATCTGTGCAAGGGCCATTCCCCTACCTCAATTCTCCCATGTAGCCTGACTGGAGCCCAGGCGGAACAGCCCCCAACAGCCCCCGCACACGTTCGGCTTCCGCTCGGGGTTGGATGCCCAGGAGCCATGGTGAGGATGCCCTTCTTCAGGCTGCCGAACTCACAGACCAGGGCCTTGTCATCCTCCTCCTCGTGCAGCCTCCGGGCTCAGCTGCGCAATATGTTTTTTTTCTTCTGGGCCAAAAGAGGAGCCGAAAACGTGTAGGGTAAGCACCGACGTTTGGGGATTTATCCGTTTTGCTTTTGTTTTAAGCAGATTAAAAAAAAAAACAGTTTACCAGCATCTTAGAACTGGGCTGTGTCTTGCCATTAACTTGATTTCCCAACACAAACATATCAAGTCGAGGAACTGAGAAGTGAGAATACTCGGAACCTGGTATTCGATAGCTCCTACTAGCCTATGGTGTTGCTTGTGACTCCCCGAATACCCCTGACTGGCCATCATGAGCTTACTTCAGCCTCTGGCTGTTCTTGTTTTCCTTCCACCAAGGGAAACCATGGGCACTGAATGAAAAGGGATGCAAAACCGCACGATCTGGGGGATACAGCTATCTCGGCGAAGAGCCCATGGCAATGTGTTCGAATATGCCCCAAAATGGGTGTCTTTTTTGGGGGCACCCTCTACTCATGACAGTCACCTGCTCTGGTGCCTCAATTGGAGACAAGCCCATATCCCACCTTGCTGGTGGTCCTGGTGGTTTGGACATTCTGGGGGTACCTTGTTCATTTGGTGTTGAAAGGGGCTGGGGTTCAAATCCCACAACCACCAAACCACCAAATAAGGAGTATAACATTTTGTGAAGCTCATGCGAAATCTGTGCAAAAATGCCCGAAACCCACACGGCTGATGGCTCTGCCAAAATCCGGAAGGTTTGGATGGCCTGGAAGGGAACTAAACAAAACAGACCCATACCCATGTTCAAGCTGCATGGGAGTAGACAAGCAAATCCCAATCATTACCAGGTCCTCCAGTAGAGAGGTTAGAATAAGGGTACCCTTTTTCTGTAGTCTATGTGATTCGGGCACGAGCCTGTGCCCAGGCAATGGGTAAAGCCACAAAAGAAAGGTTCCCCAAAAGCAAACCAATCCCCGGTCCCAAAGATCAGGGTTTCCCACACACCAGAGAACAACAACCAAAAGGGAAAATAACCAAAGTAGAAAAGGATACCCGCAACCTAGATCGACGATGAACCGCACGGGCGATCCCCACCAACCTACCCCGGGCCGAAGTCTCTTTCTCCTCCGACACGAAGGCGGTCGACGTGAGGGCCCGGCGACGCTCATCCGAGGCGCGCCGGATCCAAAACTTGAGCCAAACACCACAGGTCAGTCACTACCGCGACATCCCTGATGATGAAATGAACCATGGCTAATCACACCCCCCTCACGAGGAGCCCGTCATATGACGGGTGGAGCGTGCCGTTTACTGATAGGATTTAACTGCTCGCATACGTCCGCAAACAGCTGGACACTACCGCCGTCAGCGGTGGAGCAAACCCACAAAGGCAGTCGCGCGACATCCCGGGCATTAAATTCCCGCCACCACCCCGAATTAATCGGGGTAACGCTGTCCAACATACCTTGTGGAAAAGTCCACATGACGACAATAGGTCACAACTGTTTGCATCAGAAATGCAAGAAGTTTAATTCTTATCAGAAGCCATGAAATAAAAGATAACGTATGTCCATTAGTACCCTCGCCTAACGGCAAGAGGTACTCCTGACCATGCGTACCTGAAAAATGCCTGAATTCCGCAAACCCGGGAGTAACCCCCCATCAGTTTGCTTTCCCTCTCACTCATACTGCTTCCGGATGAGCACGTCCAGCAGCTCAGCAGCGGTACGGGAGAGACATGACCTCCGCGCCTCAGCGGTCCGGGAGGAACATGACCACCTCCACACCGCGCCGACCATTGGAGAATGGACGCAAGCCTATCGGCCGCAATCCCCGTGACTCAGCCTACCGGCTATCGTCACGTCTCCTCCGGTCACGCCCGCCCCGCGCACGGTCCCTATCACGATCCCTTTCGGATCTCCTGCGATCATCTCGCCTTCGATCTCGCTCCCGATCGAGTGAATCATCATCACGACGATCACGAGCATCGTCCCTCCTCCTGTCGCGATCATCCTCGCGCCGCGGACGGTATCTGCGCCTCCTCGACTCTCTGGAATCCCTGGTGTCCACGGTCCTAACGGACCTCCGAGAAGGAGTACGGGAGACATCCGATTCCCTATGCCTCCTCCCAGATCGAGAGTTCGTCACGATCTGGTTGAGAGCCTCCAGTGCCGACGCGTCCTCACCATTCCTGATGAAATCCCTGACCTGCTTGTTCAGCACTCTGTTGGTGGAGATCGACAAGAAAGCGTCCACCACCGAACTCTCAGGCAGCACCAGGAAGTGCCCCTCCACCGGGCTCGCCGCAGCCCGCTCAGCAGACTGCAGACGGACCTCCCCGCCTTCAGGCTTCTTTGCCATCGCCTTGGAGGCCGTCAAAGGCGCTACCGCATCCTTTGCCGAAGATCTGCCAAGCGCGGAGTGAAGATCATCCCCGCTAGCTTCTCTCGCTGCCGCACCTGGTCTGCTGTCGACGTCGCCAGGCCTCGTGGACGCCTCCCGCTTTGTCGACTCCTTCGCAGCCTCGTCGGGATCCCAACGGGATTTCCTTTCTCTCTTCTGTCCTTCGGCCGACCCGCGGCTACCGCCGGGAGCGTCACCTCCTCCTGTCTTCTCCTTCTTGACCTCAACCTTAGGTTCGGCCTGCTTCGTCTCCTTAGCCACAGCTTTTGGAGCCGGAGCACTCTTCGCCTCAGATGCTGAAGCAGCCTTCCCTTTCGGCTCGGCCTTAGGAACCGGGGTCACTTTAGCCTTGGCACTCGGCCTGGCCCCTTCAACCACCATCTCGGCCCAAGACTTCTTCGGCTGAGCTGCTGCTGTATCAACCTCCATCGGAGCAGGTCCAGCATCATCCTTCGCCTTTGGGACGGATGGGCTACCGCCCTTACCGGATCCTTTACCTGGCACTTCACCTGATTTTGGTGGCGGGCCGGAAGGACTACCGCCCTTACCGCCCTTCTCCCCTTTCTTCCCCTTTCCTTTTCCGCCCTTGGGGACCGGCTCCTGCTTGGGACCAGGACCCGGCGCAGCATGATGCACTGATTGGAGTCCCTCGATGTCCACGTTCAAAGGTTCGGGTTGACGACCGTCAAGAACCGTCCTCACCCTTTCGTCACTAACGTAGACGAACGGGTCACGGAAGGGTGCGGGAGGCTCCGACTGTCCGGCGCTGATCGCCTTCTGCACCTTGGCTATCGCCTCCTTCAACCTCTTCTTCTCATCGTACCCCGTCTCCGATACCATGTACTTCCTGAGCTGCGAAATCAACGCATGACTCTCCAGGATGTCCACGTCCTTTCGATGGGTCGGGTACAATGGGGTCAGATGACCAGCCGCAGAACCAATCACGTATGCCATCGGAATATAGAATGACAAGTACGTGTCATGACGAGCGAACTTCCTAACGGAAGTCGTCATACGCCTACCCCACTGAGCAGCGTGTCTTGGGTTGGCCCGGAAGTACTCCGTGACCGACTCAAATCTATCGACTTGGTTGGTCTTGATCAGGTGCTTCGCCACCCACTTCTCCACAAACGCATCCGAGGCCGAAATCCCGGACACATAGGAGAATTGGAAGAGCACCTTCGCCAGCTCATCCCACGCCGCATCGACACCTCCCTTGTCTTCACCAAGATAAGGGGGAAGTCTGATGCCGCTCTGCACCGTCATCCTCAGATCGGATGCCATTGAATAGGAAATCAAATTCCTCTTGATGACTCCGACCACTTCGGAGGGAATCCTCCTGGGCTTGAACTGCCCCATGGTCCTCACCCATTCCGGCACGATGTGGCATGTTTCGAAGTCCTTTTCCTCCGCGTTGGGGATAAAGTTGGGTAAAAGACCGGGAGCGCGCACCCGGGACACAAGTGCATCCCATTCGGCATCAATTCCGCGCACCTCAAGCAGAACGTGGCAGTCACATTCAGCCTGATCTCTTCCCGAGATCGCCTGTGCTCTCCCCTAACGGGGGTGAAGTCACCGTAGTCCCATGCCCGATGGTACACTATCGTGTAATCATCGTACATATACGCCGCCTTCCAGGCCCCCATGTGGATCTCGTTCCTAACGGCAAGAGTCTTCCTTCTCGTCAAAAACACGGGTCCAACCAATGACCAGTGCACCCGAAGATCCACCATTACCACCACGTACCTACCGGAGTAGTTCCGCAGCCTGTCCCTGACATACCACGAAGGCGAAACCTCGGCATCCGGCGCCATGGCTCCCACAAGTGGGATCAGGCCCTCATCCTGTCTTCCATCCCCAATGGTCTCGTACACATCGGGCCTCGTGATCAATATCTCGATCATGGCCTTTCCATTTCTCCTCACCCTTTGGAGCTGAACCGCCTTCCGAAAGTCCGAGAACTTCATGATGACGTATCCCACCATGGGGAGTTCATTCCAATGCATCTCATACATCAGAGATTCCTGAGTATACCTGTGCCTAACGGCACTGTAACTCAAGTCGCGTCCGATCCGCGTGTGCCTAACGGCAACCAACCTGGTGCTCTCTTTGAGGAGAACGCCATCCCCGTCGTACATGACCATGAGCATCGCCTCCACTTGCCCTATCGGGAAAGCTTTAAGCGTCGGAATGAAGAACTTCCAAGACATCTCAGCGTTCTCCATGCCCGAAATCTCCTTCAGGAACCAGATGGCCTGGTCACTTTTCACCCAGTTTCCAGCCTCGCGTCCGGTCTCCTTCAGCACACGTTCCTCGAATAACTCCGAGACTCTCTTTGAATTGATGACCAAGCCGTCGAAATCGCACGAGAGCAGTCTCATCAACTCCTTCGCCGCCTCCCGTCCTGCAACAGTGCCCACGGTCTCCTCGTAGTTCGGGAGGTATTCACCCAACCTCGTCTTCGAGGGAACCACAATCTGGCAAGTGACGGCCTCATCAGGGATAACTCCCGTTTCCCTTAACTCTGGATTGATCTCTCGCCTATCGGCAAGATAATCCTCCTTCCCATCCAGTATCACAAGATTGTAGGTCATCTTGCTCGCCGCCCCACTGGGCCTGAA